TGCTAGCAACTTCAGTTTTTCCAGGCAACTACTTTCATTCTTACCTTAGAGTCTTTGTAAATACTGTTTCCTCTACCTGGAATGCTTTCCAGGAATGCCACCCTTATTTCATCTATTTTACTCTTTTTTTTTTTTTCCCAGAAGAGGTCTCTGGAAATTCCCATAAATTCTTCAGAGATGTTCCTAGTCCTTTCCACCTGAATTAATTCTCTGACATACAACATTTTTCATTTAATAATAATTTGTGAACTACTTGCCAACTTCTGCTTTTCTTGCTGGACTGTCAATGGTTTTTCTTTTTCACTACTGTATCCTCAGTGCTCAGAACAATGTCTGGCCAAATATTTATTGACTAAATCAGCAAAGTGACCCTAGAGGGTGAAAACTTTCAGTTAATTTTATCAGGAAACAAAACTCAATGCACTTTGTCTAGAAAATTAACCTACTAGTATTAGGAGGTAAATCTAGGGTTATATGATTTCATAAAAAATATATATGACATGTATTGACTTATTTATAATAATAAATTATAAGGTACCCTAAATGAAGTTTCGCATCTGATTTGTTATTTGGCTTTAGATCAAATAGATCTAAAGACTGGTAAGATCTGATAAATGGCAATATTGGTAATATAAGTATATCACATATTTCATTTTGTATGGAAAGCAGAAAAATTTCCATCACTATAATCTTTTTTTTTTTTTTTTTTTGGTGGGACCCTCGCTGAGCGGCCCGGGAACAAACCAGCGCTGCAGAGGCTGCAGGCAGCCTCGCAGCCCAGCGCTCAACTGCTGCGCCACCAGGGGCTCCATCACTATAATCTTAAGGTTTGATGTATGTGCTTCTGTTGTTCACCCTCAAGCTAACTCATTTTTTTCTTTTAAAAATAACAATGGGCAATTAATAAATAGAAGCGATTCTACCTAAAAACAGAATAATCCAGGTTCTTTTATTTATTTATTTATTTTTTTTAATTTTCTAGAGGCATGTCTTATTTATTTATTGTTTGTTTGTTTGTTTGATACATGCACTGGGTACAGTCAGAAGCGTGGGAGGGTGAGAGAATTCACCAGAGCCAGAGCGGGGAGCAGAGCAGGCAGAAGGACCGAAGTACACTGCTGAGGGGAGCAGCGGGCGGCAGGAGAGGTCTGCGCGCCATGTGGGACCCTCCTCTGGTGGCCGGGGAGCAGCCGGGGATCGAACCGGCTGCAGAGGCTGCAGGCAGCTTCGCAACCCAGCGCTCAACCGCTGCGCCACCGGGGAGGCCCAATCCAGGTTCTTTTAGAATTAACTTATTACTTTGGGGAAGAAAGGGATTTTGTAAATTAGGTAAAATGTTTCTTGTAAATTTAAGCTAAATAAAACAGTAAACCCATTGGAGCAGGGATTTTTGGAATTGGAGGAAAGGCAGGAACCTGGTTTCCTCTTAGTTAATGGGCTTACTTCCTTTGGGTGAGAAAACTAAGAATGCCTTAAATTCTGGGGAAGGTCAGTGTATTCAGATATTAGAATTTTCTCCAGGAAAGATAGGCTTTTGAAACTAATCGAAAGCCCAAATTTATTAGATAAGTGAAGGAGCACAACAAGATAGGCGCAAGCAAGAAAAAGGGACTTTCAAAACTTTGAAGGAATTTTATGATTCACATTGGGAGGGAGGTGAAACTCCAGGGCTGGGAAAATAATGCAAAGCCCCACTTTGAAAAAGAAAACTATGAATCATAGCCTTGGGAACTTCACTCACCCCTTGGAGATACATGATTTTATAATGCACATCATGGGGAAAATTACTTTATGGCCATTGTTTCCTTTCAATCTACTTTCCTATTAATTGTAGTATACTGAAATTATAAATTACTGCATTAATTTTTTTTTTTTTTAAATGAAGTACCATTTTCTTACATCCTTGTTAGTTTTTTGACAGTATAGGATTTCCCCCTTCTGGTGTGGTCACTGTAGTTCTCCAACCACCAGAGCACCCATGGTCCCCCACCTCAATCCATTATATTCTTTCCGTTCCCCTATTCTCCATTTTGACCTCTCCCTCCCCTCCTGGAAGTCTCAGATTTATGGTCATCTTTCAGTTTCTAAGGTTTTAAGGTTTGTCTTTTTCTGAAGCTTTGTTGGTTTTTTTTTTCTTTAAGATTTATTTATTCATGCATACAGGAACCAGGGTCCAGACCAGATGTGCAGGAGGGTGAGAGGATTCACCAGAGACGGAGTGGGAAGCAGAACAGGCAGACTGACAAAATACATACTGAGGGGAGCAGCGGGTGAGACAGGAGAGGTCTGCTGCACCATGTGGGTATCTCACCCTGCCAGCCGGGCTCGAACCCATGCTGCAGAGGCTGCAGACAGCTTCACAGCTCTGCGTTCAACCACCTGTGCCACCAGGGGAGGCCCTATTTGGTTTGCTATATAACCATCTGGTATTTTATCTTTCTCTTTCTGGCTTACTTAGCATAATCCCTTCCAGCTCCATCCATGTTGCTGCAAATGGCATGAATATATCTTTTTTGATTGTGGAGTAGTAGTTTATTGTGTATATATACCACATTTCTTAATCTACTCATTGTTTAGGGACATTTAGGTTGTTTCCATATCGTGGCTATTGTTTATAGTGCTGCAATAAACATAGACGTGCAGGTTTCCTTTTGAATTAGTGTTTTTGTGTTCTTTGGGTAGATTCTGAGGAGTGAAGTGCTAGGTGGTATGGCAGATTTTTAGTCCTTTGAGGAATCTCCACACTGCCTGTCATAGGGGCAGGACCAGTCTACAGTGCAAGAGGAATAACTGCATTTCTGAATGCTGAACATATACTAATTTATTTATTCACTCATCTTGCATTCATCAGAACACATTTACTTGATTTCAATTGCTTGTCAAACTCAAAGGAACAGCATCATTTCTTTAAATGAAAATAAATATTTCTTCCTTAGAATTGTACAAAATTAGTTACTGCTCAAAAGTGTGACCTGAGGGGTACAGCAAGATACCAAGAAACTTTTTTTGAAATTTGAATGTGTGAACTCTTACAACTCTGCTAATAACCACTTAACCAATTTATTAACCATCTGTCCCCAAAATTAGGGTTGAAGAGTACTTTTAACATCTTATGTTAGAATACTGTGTGCACTTTGGAAAACACGGGTTTAAATAATATGCTCATGCTTATCATCAAGCTCCATCCCTGATACTCAAGACACACAGTCTTGATCCACAGTCTGCAGCATTAGGCATTAATTATCATTAAGTGTCATTTAGGAGCTTCCTAGAAATGTGGGTTCCCAGGCCCCACTCCAGGTCCACTGAATCAGAATCCATGGTTTGACAAGATGCTCAGGTGCTGTTTATAGGCATTTAAGTTTATTAAGCCCTGCTGCCCAAATCCAAAAATCCAAGTAGATTTTAGAATATAAAACTTAAGTAATGAGTGATTCACCATCCAACAATGCAATCTGTATTATCTTTAGGGAGCTGAAATATTAGCAAGTTCTTCTAGACTTTGCTCAAACATAACTCTGAATATGACATTCACTGGCCTTGGTTTGACCCCCTGTTAGCTTCAAAACCAAGCTACTGCCTCTTCTTGATGAGGGCCATTCAAACATGGCAATAAGCTATCTTATCTCCCCCTTGATTTAAGCATTGCCAGGTGTAACTAAATCCCCACCCTCTTAGCTTTTTCTCGTTAGGCTTTGAGTTTCTTTACTAACCTATTCAGACTAAATAATCTTAAAGGACTATCACAATTTCAAAGTTGTTTGCATCTAATAATAAGTAGTAATAGGTAGCAGTAGGTAGAAGGAGACAGAAACCCAGAAGTTATACTTTCCATGGGAATGCTGAGACACAAAACACTGTCTGATGGTGCAAACTTCTATTATAATAGCCCCACTAAAGAGCACTGCTTTATAATTCTTCTAGTTTCTGAATGCAGCAACTATTTAGCACTTAAAAGTGAAGTGCATATGTAAATAAATGAAAATAAGCATTTTGTTTCTGTGTAAATTTGAAACTTTGAAGAAAAAATCATGTAACCCACAACTCAGCAAATCAATTGATTTTGTTTTTCAGTAATGTGCCACACACACGTCTCACCCCTAGAAATAATCTTAAGTAGCTTTAAAATTTTTCTTTCTTAGTAAAAACTAAATATTTTTCCATATTATGATATAATTTTCATAATAACCAAGCGTAATTATTTCCTTATTGCAGGATGTTAACATTCATAGCTAGCTCTGAAAATGTCCTTTTTTCGGTGGTTTCGCATTTCGATAATTTCCTTTCAGAGAATTAAAAAAGAATTCTATTAACACAGGAAATAGAGGGCATGCAGATTTGTTTTGTTTCAGGGTTAGTCTTACATAAGAAAAGCTGTAGTTGGAAATGTTTGAGATTTTTTTTCCAAAATTTTTTGGAGAAAAGGGTTGAAAGCACAATTCTTTTTCTCTCTAGTTCCTCCCCATAGCTTCCTTTCCCTCACTTTCTTCTAGATATTTTTATTCTTCTTGAGGTTTTTCTCATTCTCTACTCTCCCTCCCTCCCTTCTTCAGAGGGTTTTCAGAGCAACAGCCCCATCTCTCACCTCGGCACTTAACAATAAAGCTTGTGTATGTGTGGAGAGAAGCTGAAAAATAAGACAGATGGTTCTTTCATTACCAGGTTATTTGGATTAATTGAGCTGGCTATCTTATTTTTTTCAAGGAGACTGACTTGGATCCTGTGCATAACCAGCCGTGAACTACAGTAATGTAATAGTACTGCTGGTTTGCTGTTTGTTAGGTTTTTTTTTTTTTTTTTTTGGTAATTTCATCATCATGTAAAGCACTTGTGGGGGGGGGGGTCAGAAATGAGTTTACTAAAATAATGTTTTCATTAATAATTTTTAAAAATCACTTTGTTTCTTGGAGAGCTGAGCCATTCTTATGAATGGGCTTATCTTTTCTTTTTTTCCAGTACTCGTGAGTGAAGAAGCAGCACAACCCATTGTCTTACATAAGTTCTTGTGGAAAGATTCCAACAATTTAGCAGATCACCTTCTGAGCCTCTTTGCCTTCAGGAACCGAGGGCCTTTGGGGAAGAGATTTCTAAAAGTGCAGGTAAGCCAACCTGTTGCCTGTGAGGCAACATTAAGGCAACATTAATGTCATAGATTTCTTAGATATATGCTTGAATTCTTGACATGTTCTTATATAATGCATTTTCCATGCTTAAACTACCCATAAAATACCCTCTCCTTTGTGTGCAACTGCCTGTTAATTTACCTTTTATTAGCTTAACATGTGGTCAGAGGGCCTTCTATTAATTTAGCCAGTACTGCTTAGCATATTCCAAGTTTGAGCTATGGAAATCTTAATTACTATATACTCAACCTGAGTGGCCCTTCTCTGGGTCTGTTATAAGCCAATATGGAAGTAAAAGGGTAAGAAAACTGAAGTTGAAACTAGAACATTATGCGGATCACAAGTATATGTAGAGGTTCTGCTGTTAAGAAGCTGTGTAATGTTGGGTAAGACCCTTCTCTCTCTGATCTTTGTTTTTTTGGTAGACATGGAAACAGCATTCATTCTGTCTTTAAATGCTATAATTAATAATAAATTTATTAAAGTACCTTAATAGGGCCTCCCCGGTGGCGCAGCGGTTGAGCGCTGGGTTGCGAAGCTGCCCGCGGCCTCTGCGGCGCCGGTTCGATCCCCGGCTGCTCCCCGGCCACCGGAGGAGGGTCCCACATGGCGTGCAGACTTCTCCTGCCGCCCGCTGCTCCCCTCAGCAGTGTACTTCGGTCCTTCTGCCTGCTCTGCTCCCCGCTCTGGCTCTGGTGAATTCTCTCACCCTCCCGCGCTTCTGACTGTACCCAGTGCATGTATAAACAAAACAAACAAACCAGCAAACAAATAAATAAAGCATGCCTCTATAAAAAATAATAAAAAAAAAAAAAAAAAAAAAAAAAATAAAGTACCTTAATACACTTTTTTGGACTTAGGTTAAAAATTATTCCTGGAACCTCATGTACAATTTTAGATAGTAATTTATTTATTTATTTATTCATTTATTTATTATGTATTTATTTTAAAGGATTTTTTTTAAAGGTTTATTTATTTATTTATACAAGCACTGGGTACAAGTCAGAAGCACGGGAGGGTGAGAGGATTCACCAGAGCCAGAGCAGGGAACAGAACAGGCAGACTGACGAAATACACTGCTGAGGGGAGCAGTGGGCGGCAGGAGAGGTCTGTGTGCCATGTGGGACCCTCACCTGGTGGCCGGGTATCGAACCGGTGCTGCAGAGGCTGCGGGCAGCTTCACAGCCCAGCTCTCAACCGCTGCACCAACGGGGAGGCCCTTAGATAGTAATTTATAAATTTATTCTGACAAAACTCTGGAACTCAAATGTCCAGGAGGAATTAGCTGCAAGTTTTACTCATGAATCCGTTGACTTTCTAATTTCTGAAGGCTCATTAGAAAACAATTATTCTACCAATAAATTTGTTTATTTTTATTTAAATTTTTAATTTTTTTTATTTTGTATATTTTTTACATCATTTTTCATTTTTGCACAATGTATGTACTTTCATCTTGGTTATATTCCCCATATAATTCCCACCCCCCTTATTTTGACCTAATCACTCCTCCCCTCCTCCCCACCATAGTGTGTCTCTGGTTTATAGTTGCTTGTTGATTTTGATTTTTACTTTATTATAATTAGTCTTTTTCCTGGTCCCTTATTTAGGTTTTCTAAATTCCTGCTATCAGTGAGACCATCCAGTATTTTTCATATTCTTTCTGGCTTATTTCGCTGAGCATGATCCCTTCCAGCTCCATCCATGTTGCTGCAAATTGCATATGTTTATCTTTTTTGATTGCTGAGTAATATTCCATGGTGTATATGTACCACATCTTCTTGATCCAGTCATCTATTTTTGGGCATTTGGGTTGTTTCCACAGCTTAGCTATTGTAAATAGTGCTGCTATAAACATAGGGGTACAGGTGCCCGTTTGAATTAATGTTTCTGTGTCCTTTGGGAAAATACCTAGGAGTGGAACTGTTGGATCATCTGGAAGCTCCATTTTTAGCAGGTTGAGGAATCTCCACACAGCTCTCCATAATGGTTGGACCAGTTTACACTCCCACCAGCAATGCAGGAGAGTTCCTTTTTCTCCACATCCTCGTCAACATTTGTTGTTGCTAGTTTTTTTAATATGTGCCATTCTCACTGTCTACCAGTAAATTTGTTACAATACTGTTTTGTTTGATCTTTGTGTAAAGGATACTTATTACTGAGAAAGTTATGCTTTAGTGGTACTGGTGAATTCTGACATTGACAATGGTTTTGGAATTTAGTCATTGGGAATCTCTTGAGCTTTTCATTGTTCACACCGAGATTATTCATGATTAGCTTCAAAGTCCTTCCCTAGCATAGTTCTGAGCCTGTGGATCTGCAGAGTTCTTGAGTACCATAAATCTTAACTGGAGAGAGGGCTAGATTCAGGTTTCTTACTGCTAGAAACATCCTCATTTAATGGAATCTGGGCTATAATCATCATGATTATTTGTGGAATGGCCTTTCCTGTCAATGTTTACATTGCCTGGCATCAAGAAGGTGGAAATATCTTGAGTCTTTATGGCATAATGGTGAAGGGGGTTCGAATCGCTCAGCCACATACTTATTGGGTGTCCCTGGATAAGTTATAACTTCTCTGGACATTTGTACCTTCTGATAGCTGCCTTTCAAAAGATAGTTGAACACTTTTTAATTTTAATTGTATAAAGAATTATATATTCTAGTATAGAATTGAAACATTTGAAACATATAGACGGGTTCTGTCTCATAAGTGTTCAGAAAATTTTAACCTTTTTATTTTGTCTTAGAGAAGTTTTATTATGAAAAGCATAAAAAGGAATGGTTTCTATAGCAGAGATAGATTCTAATTCTTAAGATGCCTTTTGCTCATGATATACTACTATTTTGATTGCTTTTCATTATGTATTCAAAAGCAGATGAGTAAGGCCTCTGGTTATGGAGTCTTTGAAATGTTGCAATGAATGCAGATTAGTGGAAGCTTATTTTTTTAAGATTAGTATTAGCATCATGAGTTCTTTACCAAGAATTTGAGAGTCAGTCTTTAATGAGGGTTCGGTGTATTGGGCAGAGCAACATTGTGACTTAAAATATGTATTTGGCCATTCAGATGAGCAAAACATATATTTCTTACATATATTTGCTCTTGATCATGGTTGCTGGCTCACAGCTCCTAAAACCTTGGGATTTCTTAAGTATCGAAAGTGATAAAGGTTTCTCTTGTTAAGTTAATAATGGTAACTTTTGGTAAACACCTGAGGATGGATGGGGCTAGCTGCCAGGGGAACCAACCATGTGATTAGAAGGTTAGAACTTCCAGTCCCATCCCCTGACCTCTGGGGAGGGGAGACGATTGGAGGCTGAGTCAATTGCCAAGGAGTTGATCATGCTATGTAATGAAGTCTCTGTAAAAACCCACGGGTAGGGGACTTCAGAGAGCTTCCGGGCTGGTGAATACATGGAGATTTGGAGAGGATGGTTGCCTGGAGAGGCCATGGCGATTTTGTGTCCTTTCCCCACACCCTGATCCATGCAGCTCTTCTAGCTGGGTATTCCTGAGGTACATATTCTTTTTTTCTTTTAAAAGATTTATTTATTCATGCATGCAAGAACCGGGGTACAGAGCAGATGTGCGGGAGGGTGAGAGGATTCACCAGAGACAGAGAGGAGAACAGAACAGGCAGGCTGACTGAAATACACTGCTGAGGGGAGCATTGGGCGAGACAGGAGAGGTCTGTTGCGCCATGTGGTTATCTCCGCGGCTGGCCGGGATTGAACTCGCGCTGCAGAGGCTGTGAACAGCTTCACAGTGCTGCACTCAATGGCCTGTGCCACCACACAGGCCAGGTACATATTCTTTGTCCTAAGTCAGTGATCTAGTGAGTAAGCAGGTTTCCCAAGTCTTGGGAGATACTCTAACAGATTAGTAGGACCCGAGGAGGGATTCTGGGAACCTTTGATCTCTAGTGAGTCAGAAGCACAGGTGACAGCCCAGGCTTGCAGCTGGGGAAAGGAGTAAGGTCTTCGTTGGCTAAGCACTCTACCTGTGGTATGCAGTAGAGAGATAGTGTTTAAATTGAGGTGAAGTCTCAGACACCCTGCTAGTGTTTATAGTGCTTCATCTTTGCTATTTATAGTACTATCAGATAGTATCACTATTCCCATTTTACAGTTGAGGAAACTGAAATATAAAGCAGTTAAGCGACCTCCCACGGTCATATGACTAGTCAAGATGTAGAGCTGAGACTCAAAACCCATATTGGCAGTTTTAATACCTAATTATGTTGCTGCCTACACAGAACAAATTGTATGAAGATGAGAAGATGGAAGGATCAAATTATGTGTAGGGTAAGGAAAAATGTCAGGCTTTTCTGCCCTCCCGCCATCAGGATAGATGATGGAACCCTGTGGTCCTGAATGCATGCCTGATGGCGGGCACCTGGAGTAGGGTGTGGGCATAGGTAGATGGGATTCACCTGGGCTGAGACTGGGCTTTTAAGGGCAGCGTCACGGGGACGCCAGCAGCAGCAGAAGCAGAGAACGCCAGAGAGCCCAGAGAGAGTGCGGATTTGCTGGGGGCTGGGAGGACTGCCAGCCTCCCAGCCCCCCAGCACCCCTGCCTGCCACGTACCCGCTGAACCCCAATAAAAACCTGCAAAACCACTGAGGACTCTGACTCCTCCTTTACCTGGTCTGCATGGGATCAGAAAACCTGCACTGTGTCCATTCCTGCCCTTACATTATGGAAGTCTTAAATTCCAGGCTATAGTAACTTTATGTTTATTTGGTAGAAAATGAGAAGCCACTGAAGATTTTCCTGTGGGGTTGGTGACAAAATTAGGCCTGAGCTTTGAGGATTTTTTGCCAGGTACAGCATAGTAGGTGGCTTAAGGGGAAGAAAGATTAGCGATCATTGCTAGTAGCTAAGAAGTGATGAGAATGTGATTTGAGAAATAGGATTAAGACTGGAGCACACCTGCATTTAGTTGTGCCAAGAAGGAAGAAGGACCTCAAGGCAC